CTGTCTGTGAGTCTATGACTTTGTGAGTCCGTGAGTCTGCCTGAGACTCATGGATTCACAAAGTAATTCACTCAGTCTGTGAGTCTGTGACTCGATGAGTCTGTCTGTGAGTCTATGATTTTGTGAGTCCGTGAGTCTGCCTGAGACTCATGGATTCGCAAAGTAATTCACTCAGTCTGTGAGTCTGTGAGTCCATGAGTCTGTTTGTGAGTCTATGACTTTGTGAGTCCGTGAGTCTGCCTGAGACTCATGGATTCACAAAGTAATTCACTCAGTCTGTGAGTCTGTGACTCGATGAGTCTGTCTGTGAGTCTATGATTTTGTGAGTCCGTGAGTCTGCCTGAGACTCATGGATTCGCAAAGTAATTCACTCAGTCTGTGAGTCTGTGAGTCCATGAGTCTGTTTGTGAGTCCGTGAGTCCATGAGTCTGTTTGTGAGTCTGTGCCTGACTTCCGCAACCCAGTTACTGTCTGGTGCTGTCTCTCCCCGTCTCTACCCCTGCCTCTCTGTCCGTCTCCCTGGCTCTCTGTCCCTTCGTGGCTGTCTCTTTGTCTCGTTCTTTCACCCCCCATGTCTCTTTTTCTCTTTCTCTCCGTCCATCTCTATAATTCAAAGTGAAATCGTTTGGCATAACAGCAAAGCTGCAGTCCTGTCACAGAGCACTTAAGCCAAGCCAACAATGCCTCGCATACCAGTGATCAATACAGATTCAGCACATTCATATGTAGCCCCTGCATTCCCAGCACAAACACTCAAACCCCATCCCCGCTCTCTCATCAGAGACGGGGCCTCTCTCTCTATGTGCCCGTCTCTCTTTCGCTGTCTCTGTATCTTGTCTCCATCTGCGTGCATCTCTCTGTGTGTCCCTCTCTCATGTCTCCGTCACCCCCCCCCCCCCCCCTCGTGTCTGTATCTGTCACTCTCTGTGATCGTCTCTTTTTCTCAGTGTTTCAATGTCTCTCTCTATCCATCTCCCTCCATGTCTCTGTCTCTCTGTATGTCTCTGTGTCTGTCTCTCTCTCTCTCTCCCCATGTCTCCGCTGCAGCGTGTGCGTGACCGTTTAGTCGCTTTCCGTGTCAAATGGATTCTGGGTGAGATGGAGACCGCCGCGTCCTCGCGCTCTCTCCCCATCACGCTCTCTCCCCACCACGCTCTCTCCCCACACCGCTCTCTCCCCACCACGCTCTCTCCCCACACCGCTCTCTCCCTACACCGCTCTCTCCCCGCACTGCTCTCTCCCTGCACCGCTCTCTCCCCACCATGCTCTCTCCCCGCACCGCTCTCTCCCCGCCACGCTCTCTCACCGCCACGCTCTCTCCCCGCACCGCTCTCTCCCCGCCACGCTCTCTCCTCACCACGCTCTCTCCTCGCCATGCTCTCTCCCCGCACCGCTCTCTCACCGCACCGCTCTCTCCCCGCACCGCTCTCTCCCCGCCACGCTCTCTCCCCACACCGCTCTCTCCCCACACCCCTCTCTCCCCGCACCGCTCTCTCCCCACACCGCTCTCTCCCCACATTACATTCTCCCCACATTACTCTCTCCCCATACCGCTCAATCCCCGCACCGCTCTCTCCCCCGCCACCCTCTCTCCCCATACCGCTCTCTCCCCACACCGCTCTCTCACCACATCGCGCTCTCACCACACCGCTCTCTCCTCGCCATCCTCTCTCCCCGCACCGCTCTCTCCCCCGCCACGCTCTCAACTCGCCAAGCGCTCTCAATGCACCGCTCTCTCCCCACATTACTCTCTCCCCACATTGCTCTCTCCCCACATTACTCTCTCCCCACATTGCTCTCTCCCCACACCGCTCTCCCCGTACCGTGCTGGCTCTCCCCGCCACGCCGGGGTTCCGTGGGCGACTCCCAACAATTCGCCGTCGGTTTCCGGGCGATGCTGTGGGAAAGCGCGATCCGACCTCTGACACAAAACTAGACACCGATCATGCAACTTAGACGAGCCCAAGAAATCCGTCACGATAGAAATCCGCTTATGTTGAACAGCTCCTAATAACAGTAACAATAATAGTGATCATCATGATCGACTTATTTACCTAGGAGGGTTCTGCTGAGTTTATTTTTTTTAAACCTGGAGATGTTTTCAGCCAATCAACGATGAGTGGTGTTTATTATTCACATGGGGTGGAGGAAGCCGGAGCAACCAGAGAAAACCCACACCTTGCGCGAGGGGGCAACGCTCGATCCCCCGTACGGTGTAAATATCTGGCGATTCGTTGCTCCACTGCCTTCTACTGGCGAGCCAGAGTAGTACGGCACCTCCTCGACGCCACCCACGGGTAGAAGGGATTTTCACAACGACATAATCTGTGTGTGCGGTGTTCTACCAACCCTCGCTGCTGCTGCTGCTGCCGCCTCCACATCGCTGGATAATCAGAGGCAGCCACATACAGCAGCTGCTGCTGCTGCTGCCCGTAATCCACCCAGCGGGTGCCGGCATGACAACGCCGCAGGGTCTCGGGAGACGGCTTGGGGCGGGGGTAGGGGGGGGGGGCTTCAGCCAGATTGGTCGCGGCTGATGATGATAGCGATGGTGATATGGTGGTGACGGTGGTGACAGGGGTCGTGACGGTGGTGGTGACGATGATGGTGGTGACGACGGTGGTGACGACGGTGGAGACGGTGGTGGTGATGGTGGTGATGGGGGTGGCGGTGGCGATGATAGTGAACATCCTCGAGCCAGATCTACGCATGCAGCACTCCGTCGCTCACCGTCGTCAAAGTCCTCGTCGCGGTTTCACCGTCCGTGCAACCTCGTGGCCATGGCCAGCAACGCAGAATCCGAATCTGTATTTACGCTGGAGGAATCCGATGAACTATAAAGCTCTGTTTCACAGGTGTCCAGTAGGTAACGGGACAGGACAAACCTCAGTCGTCACTAAACAGGGGCGACGTTTCGGGCAATGGCCCTTCTTTAGAGCACAGCGACTACTATATATATAAAACATTGTCCTTGCCCCCGCACCTCCGATTAGCACGGTTGGCCACGTACTGTGCGAAAGCAGTTCAACATCATACATACAAGTCTATGGGTCGCTGTGTGCGAGGTCTATGGGTCGCTGTGTGCGAGGTCTATGGGTCTCTGTGCAGGTCTATGGGTCGCTGTGTGCGAGGTCTATGGGTCGCTGTGTGCGAGGTCTATGGGTTCCTGTAAGCGAGGTCTATGGGTCTCTGTGCAGGTCTATGGGTCTCTGTGCAGGTCTATGGGTCTCTGTGCAGGTCTATGGGTCTCTGTGCAGGTCTATGGGTCGCTGTGTGCGAGGTCTATGGGTCTCTGTGCAGGTCTATGGGTTCCTGTAAGCGAGGTCTATGGGTCTCTGTGCAGGTCTATGGGTCTCTGTGCAGGTCTATGGGTTCCTGTTAGCGGGGTCTATGGGTCTCTGTGCAAGTCTATGGGTCTCTGTGCAGGTCTATGGGTCTCTGTGCAGGTCTATGGGTTCCTGTTATCGGGGTCTATGCGTCTCTGTGTAAGTCTATGGGTTCCTGTGAGCGAGGTTTATGGATCTCTGTGTAAATCTATGGGTTCCTGTGAGAGCGGTCTATGGGTATCTGTGCAGGTCTATGGGTTCCTGTGTGCGAGGTCTATGGGTCTCTGTGTAAGTCTATGTGTTCCTGTGAGAGTGGTCTATGGGTCTCTGTGCAGGTCTATGGGTTCCTGTGAGAGCGGTCTATGGGTCTCTGTGCAAGTCTATGGGTTCCTGTGAGAGCGGTCTATGGGTCTCTGTGCAGGTCTATGGGTTCCTGTGAGAGTGGTCTATGGGTCTCTGTGCAGGTCTATGGGTTCCTGTGAGCGAGGTCTATGGGTCTCTGTGCAAGTCTATGGGTTCCTGTGAGAGCGGTCTATGGGTCTCTGTGCAAGTCGATGGGTTCCTGTGAGAGCGGTCTATGGGTCCCTGTGCAGGTCTATGGGTTCCTGTGAGCGAGGTCTATGGGTCTCTGTGCAGGTTTATGGGTTCCTGTGAGAGCGGTCTATGGGTCTCTGTGCAGGTCTATGGGTTCCTGTGAGCGAGGTCTATGGGTCTCTGTGCAGGTCTATGGGTCTCTGTGCAAGTCTATGGGTTCCTGTGAGTGAGGTCTATGGGTCTCTGTGCAAGTCTTTGGGTTCCTGTGAGAGCGGTCTATGGGTCTCTGTGCATGTCTATGGGTCTCTCGGACTGAGGTCTATGGGTCTCTGTGCAAGTCTGTGGGTCTCTGTGAACCCTTAAATCCACCTGGGTTTGGCCCTAGTCGGGGGACACGGCCGACCGGCAGGCCGCGTGTGCGGTGGGGCAAAGTGTGTGTACTCCCACCTCTTCCAAGACGTCTGGCTCAGCGTGGGAAGAGGAGGCCAACATCGCCATTCGAGAGGGCAGCTCGCTCGAGTCGGGGGGGGGGGACTTCCACCAGTGGCGGCATGAGCCAGCTGTTGCAGGGCTTCGCCTTCGCCACCCGTACGCACCCACGCTATGAATCTGGCATCCTGACGATGGCCAACACCACCATCATCATCGCCACCACGATGATCAACATTTATCGACGTCGTATTTGTCACCATCGCTTGCAGTAGGAATGACCGACAATGGCATCGTCATGTGCAGCATTGCCGTGATCATCATCCACTCGACTGATTGCGGCACCACCCGGGCCAATTTCAGAGCAGCCCCTGGCCGTGGGGGCCGTTTTGATCCAATCACGCGGTCCTCCGGTCATCGGCCGGCCATTTGTTCGCAGCCATCGCGGTAACAACAAGCGGCGCTGGCTCTGAGTAGGTGCGGGGGTGGGGAGGAGGCCATCACCCAGCAGTGGATTGATCATGGGCAACGATATTGAACGATAACTGTTGTTGTAAATAGTGGCATGCACCAAATTGAGCATCACACACTCACGCACGCGTGCGCGCGCACGCAAGCACACGCGGTTACGTTCAACACGATGTGACATGCTTGTTGAGTCTCATCTCATCATCTCCCCCGCCACCCTCCCTCTCTCCCGCTGCCTCACAGCCTCACCCATTGACCACTCGCCCGGACGGAACTCTCCCAGAAAGAGGCCCTTGACGAACGCCCGGTGACCACCCGCCGTAGTAATGCCAGCCCAACGCCGCCACCAGCTGCCCCTGCTGCCCCTGCTGCTTCTGCTGCTACGATCGTCCACTTCCACCGACGCCCTCGCCCGACCTGCGACCTCCTCTCGTCCTTTTGCCGACGACGTTTCCCCCGTGGGTGCCGTCGACGCCACGGTGGGAGGCGGCGGTGGCGGTGACGCCGCCATGGTGCCCGTCGGTCACCGACGGCCCATCGTCAACGCCGGCGCCGGCAGAGATGATGATGCTGCTCCTGCTGCTGTCGAAGAGGTAGCGTCGGACAAGACCGCGCATCACCTCGTCGCTCCGGACGATCGCCGCGCTGCTGCGACCGGGCGACTGTCGGCGATGCTCAAAAACTCCGCTTCCACCTCCCAACTTTTGGCGACGGACACCGCTACTGCCGAGGTTTTTGCGGGCGGTCGCGATGGTGGCGGTGATGGTGCTGACGTTGGCGGCGGTGGCGGCGGCGGCGGCAGCGGTGGCGCCGGTGATGCCAGGACGGCCCCGGGGAAGGACGGCAGGGAGGCGGTGCCGCGCCCCGCGGGGCTGTGGCGGCCCACGGTCCCGCAGTCGCGCACCGCCCGCTCGGCCGACTGGCGATTGCCCGGCATGGATTACCACAGCTCCTGGCTGCCTCAGTCACCGGACACCACCACCACGACCACCACGACCACCACGACCACGGCCTCGACAACAACAACCACCGCCGCCGCCACCGAGGCCGCGACGCTCAAATATTGGGGCTCCACGCAGCTGCCGCGGCGGTGGGCCGACGGCTCCAAGGTCGACGGGGTCAAGGCCGGGTCACCGCCTTCAGAGCAGAGGTCAACCGGACCGCGGGGCCCGAACGCAGGAAATGTCACCGCCGCTGTAGCCGAGGGGTCGGCTGCTCCGGGACGAGGTGAGGGTGCGTGCCTGCGTGCGGACATGCGCAGTGATCGCCGGTTATCGTCGGTGATTGCCGGCGGCAGGGGCTAGGCAGAGCGCGAGGCATGCGGAGTGTTTAATTTATTGGACGCCGTCCATTTGAGTTAAGGTGGCGTTTTTATTCATTGGTGCCAACCGAGGGCTCGAGAAAAACCCCCTCTCTCCTGGGAGGCAAAATCGCCTTCGCTGTCTGCGTGATTGGCCGCAGTGCAGCCACCCTGCCGATGGTGGCGGCTCGCGGTCGCAGGGCGAATGACAGGGAACGGCTGGTGGTGGCGATGGTTCTGGAGGTGGTGGAGGTGGTCGTGGTGGAGGTGGTCGTGGAGGCCGTTGGTCGGCACAGCTGTAGCCCGGTTCACGGCGAGCAGCGTAGCGCCCTCGCGGGGGTCATGACACCCGGTCTCGTCCGCCGCTGACAACCGTTCTGGGGCCTCCCGTAGGTCGACTCGGCCTTAAGTGAGTACCGAACGCGGTGGACAGCGGCACTGGGCGTGGCCACACATCACCCCCCTCGTGTGCCGTGCCGCCCTTCACAGGTGCTGCTCGCTAACGGCACTTGCCCCAACAAGCTGTGTAGGCTACGTGGGGGATCTGAATGTGTACTTGATCTCATGATGGCGATGGCACGAACGGGATTAACACAATTTGGCAACAACAACAAAAATGTCCTAAACAAATTTGTGTCAATCGCTTGCGCTTTTTTCTCCGAACGACAAGGCAAATTAAATCACCATCGGACGTCTCGCTGCACTGCTGGCGAGAGTCGGTGCTGACGAAGCAGGGAGGGCGTGGGGGGTGCAGGAGTGGGGGGGGGGGGTGGAAGCGGTCACAGCAAGGTCAGCGAGGTTCATTATCACATCGATTGGGCAGGGGAAATGGCCGAGCGAGGAGACGGCGCTGTTCAGCGAGCACCTGTGAAGACCGGCACGGCACACGAGGGGGTGGGTGGCCAGCTCCACGCCCGGCCGTCTTTGTCGCCCCAGTGGCTATTATTTTACAAACCGCACCAGGTACTCGTTTGAGGCTGAGTCGACCTAGGGGAGGCCCAGGACCGGTTCAGATAATCGTCACTGGTGCTTGCCCTGAGCAGGAATCGAACTCGGGTCGCCGGGTTTGCAGCGCAGTGCGCTAACCGCCAAACTACACACATAACCGCATATATATATACACACACACACGCACGTATATAAAAGTGACCGTGTACATGTGTCCAAGATGCACCGGGGGCCCACGTGTGAGTGGAGTGGAGGTTGGAGCCGGTGTGGAGGCTTGGGATCGTGAGCTGCGGTTGTTTGACGACGACGACGCCGCCGCCAAACTGTCAGAGGGCATTGAATGCTCGCGCGCACAATCACACCGCGCCAGGGCTGTTTGTCTGTCAATGCGCGCCGCCCTTGTCACTCGTGACACAACGCATCGCCCGAGCTCGCCTGCAATCCGATTATTTATGCTGGGCAGTGGTGGTCGGTGGCTATGCTGCTGCTGCTGCTGCACGTGGCGAGGGTTGGTGGATTACCGCACACACGGACGTCGTTGTGAGACTTCCTTAAGCCCGTGGGTGGCGTCGAGGAAGTGCCGTACCCTGGCTCGCCAGGAGAAGGCGGTTACAGCAAAGCGGACTAATCGCCATCTGTTTCTATCTGTACGGGGATGGAGTGTTGCCCCCCCCGTGCAATGCGTGGGTTTTCTCCGGGTGCTCCGCTTTCTTCCCACGTGTTTAAATACCTGCATTTAAAAATAATTATCCTGCACGGTATCCATACCCTTCACCCTTCCCCCCCCCCCCCCCCCCCCCCCCCGTGCCAAGCTTCCTCCCGATGTCTCTCTCTCTCTCCGTCTCTCCCGGTTCAGCCGGCACCGGTCGCCCCTCCACCGAACCCCACCTCCACGAGGAGTCCCCGAGCACGGCGCTCGGCCGTCGGGGGGCCCTGATCCCGGACGAGCGCCCCTCCGACGATACCGACGACGACGCGTTGGCGCAACCTCCTGCAGGCGCCGACCCGGGTTCCCGGCGCCGGGCGCACCGCCGGCACGGCTTGCTGGGCGCCGCCTGGGCCGTGCACGTGTACGGCTGCGGCGCTCTCTTCCTCCTGCTGGCGCTGGCCTCCGCCGCCGTGGCCGTGGTGGCTGGCATGGGCCGACCCGCCGAAACCACCGCCACCGCTGTCGCCGCCACCGGCGGCCGGGAGGAGCCGCCGCCGCCGCCGGACCGCGCTTCGCCGCTCTTCGCATCCAAGTCGGCGGCGCTGACCTCGGCGCTCGCCGGAGGGTGGCTGCTGTGCGCCGCGGGGACGGCGCGGGCGCTGCTGCTGCTGCTCGCCGGCGCCTACAACGCGGACGGGCGGCTGGGCGCCGGCGCCGCCCGCCTGCTCTACGACGTGCCCTTCCCGTGCCTCACCGCCGCCCACGCCGCCGCCCTGGCCTCGCTCGCCAAGGCGGCCGAGCCGCGCCTGCCGGCCGCCCGCGAGCACCGGCTGTTGGCGGCGCTGGCGGCCGCGGTGGCGCTGCATTTTCTGCTGGCGCTCGGCGGGAGCCTGGCGGCGGGGTTGGCGGGCCCTGGCTCGCCCGCCTCCTTGGCCGCCCCCTCGGTGGCGCTCGTCTACTTCTGCGCATTCGGGGCGGCGCTGCTGGCGCTCGCCATCGTCGGCACGTGCGGCGGCACTGACCCCGCCGTTTCGGGCGAGAAGGGCCACCTCGTCTTCTCGCCCGCGTCCGCGCCGGCCACCACCCCCTCGCCGTCGTCGTTGTCCGCAAGGTCGAGGGCGGCCGTGGCCGCCGGCGCTCTGGTGGCCGCGTGCGGCGTGGCGCAGGCGAGTGGGGTGGCTCTGGGCTTTGTTGGCGACTTCGAGGTCGAGTCTCCCGCGGGCCGTACGCCGGCGTGGTGGTCCTTCCACTTCTGCGCCCGCGTCCTGGAGCTCGCCGCTTGCCTCGCGCTCTGCCTCACCGCCGCCACCGCCGTGCCCTTTCGCCGGCGCAAGCCTCACGCCGGTGCCGATGACGTCGAGGAGCCGCGGCGGCGGCAGCCGGTGGCGGCGGGGCTGACGGTTCCGCTGGCTCGATGCGACGAGGCCCTGGAGTCCGGAAAAGGTGACGGCGGTTGCTGGGGGAAACTATCGCGGCTCCTGCGTGGTTTTGGCGCCAGCGACAGCATCGATGCTGCCACCGTCATCGCCGGCGCCAGTGGCGGCGACGGGCGACGCGAGCCACAGACTGGAACCAGTGCCGGCCGGACGGACGTGGGCCGGCCCCGCGGGACCCCAGATGGCCTCGAGTCGGGCGTCACGGCGCCGTTCGCGTCGTCTTGCACCGCCACCGACGCCGGCGACGACGGCGGGAAAAGATCGACGAGGAGGGGCGACAGCGACCCAGGAGTGGACGACAGCGACGATAGCAGCCACGACGAAGACGACGACGATGAGGTGTGCGACGGCAGCAGGCGCGGGAAGGCCGCCGGCGGGCAACGGCGCCGGAACCGCAAGCGCTCCGGCAGCGGCCACTCGCTGGGCTCTTCGCTGCTGCTGCTCCACCAGTTCACGATGTCCGACCTGGACCTGCGGCCGCCGTCGCCCATCGAGCTGTGGCGCAGCATCGACGACGCGCTGCTGGAGCGCGCCGTCATCACCGAGAGCCTCTTCCGCCGCTCGCACAGCGCCGGCAACCTGTCGACGATGGGCGACGCGGAGGGGACGGCCGCCGGCGCCTCCGTCGGCGGCCCCGAGAGGCCCGGCCGCCTGCAGCGGCTGTTCCGCGGCTCGGCGCTCAGCCTGCGCAAGAGCTCCAGCCGCCTGGCGATGGCGTCGTCCAGCTTCGGCAGCGGCGTGAGCCGGGCCCCGAGTCTGGTGATGCAGTCGCCCCTCGGTAGCACCGCCACCGGCGCCGGCGGGTGGTCCAGGAGGGACGCGTCCTTCGCGTCGCTCATGAGCCTCGGTTTGGGGTGGTCGAAGAGCAGGCCCAGGGATTTGGCGCCGGTCCCGGTGGCGGGGGAGAGGGTTCTCGACCTCTGTTCGAAGCACGCGGTCCGCGACGGAGACGCCGATGACTCCGCGAGCGTCGGGCACAGGGCACCGTCGGTGAACATCAACCAGGAGTTCAACCACATCTGCAAGCAGATCAACCACCTGAGTATGAGCAGCGACGCCATCGACGTGTAGGCGCCGCCGCCGCCGCCGCCGTGGCCGGCCCGTGCTCCGTCCGCTGCTGGTTTTGACGGCCGCATGGGCGGCCCGTGAAAAGTGTCAGAATTTGATACTAATTAAATTGAGGGCGTTCACGTCATCGTCGTCGTCATTGACGTTGTCGTCATTGACGTCGTCGTCATTGACGTCGTCGTCATTGACGTCGTCGTCATTGACGTCGTCATTGACGCCTCCATGTCCAATAATCCCGCCTCCTCCTTGCGGCGTGTCCTGACAGTATTTATTCGTATGTACAGTGCAGCCGGTTGGCATGGTCTCGCTCCTGTCAGTCATTGGGGTTGTTTGACCATACTTCACCGCTTACGACCGATGTAGAGGAGGGGAGGAGAAGGCCGCTGTGCCGCCACTCTAGAGCTCGCTCTCCTGGAGGCCCCTTCCGACAGCAAGGGGCATGGGTGGGACATTGCGGGGCTGTGCCTGTACCTTGTTATAATGTATAATTTTAAAGTAAACTTACAGAGTTTAACAACTGTCTAATAATTTCATCCACCCCTCCTCCAAGTCAGTAGTGACCTCCTGACACAACGTTATTAATTTAAGACTTGAAGTCATCCTACTTGTATATTGCAATAAACAGCGATATCATTTCAACTGTACAGTGTACAAGTATTTTAAAGGATAAATAGTAACGAGAATAACAATGTAAGCAGCATGTGAAGCAATGAGCACTGAATCTACGGCCTCTCCTAGATGGGGCCCTGAGCCATAGGCCCCAAATCATGTTTCACGGGTGCCGAGGGTGGCGATTGCTACCAGTTATTTCCTTGAAGCGTTTTACCTCGACCACGGACGTGTGTGTGATAGCAAGGTCTCCGTGGAAGCTTTGCGCACGGGAAGGGCTACCACGGAGACCTCGTCGTTATATGCATTCCTAGGGACGCTTTGATGTGGAATATTGTATCTGGAGGAGAGAAATCGAAGTTGATGTGAGAACACAGTGGGGATTTTCTTTCCAGCTGCACCTACGATTGGCACGGTTGGCTACGTATGGTGCTAAAGAAGTTCAACATACATACGTACAGATTGGGCGTAAGGAGGACGTTGGTCCATACAGCCCCTTTGTGGGGAAGTCATTTAATAGAATCATCACCCCAAATTTTTGCTGGAAGATACGGGGTGTGGGTCTTATAATCCGGAGAGAGCGCGGCGACGACTGCGAGCTCGACGCGTGACTGCTCTGATCAACACTCGGCCGAGAGACCGACTCTGATGAAGTCCCCAGACTCGGACTCTGCAGGCCGCCGTCAAGATGAACGTAGCAGGGCGGGCCGGGCCGGGCTGGGCTGGACTTGGCCAGGGTCTCGATTTTTAAATCGTGCTCGGGGATGAATTTGATGCCGACAAGTTTGGCGGTCTTGGCTTTGTCACCCACGACCCCCCCCCTCCCCCGGCCCCCCGCCGTCCCATCCACCGCATGACCCGTGCACCCCTACATGGTTTCGACACCCGTGCTAACACGTCCGACCACAACAGCCGCTCCCCACCGCCCCTCTCCCCCCAACCCCGTCCAGTCGGAGGGGGGACCATGTCAGAAATTATTGGGCCACAGGTCGGAAGTGGAGGTTGCCAAAATGCCCCAGGCTCCGGTTTCCGTCAGGACGACGGGCGACGCGGCTTCCGAGCGCCAGCACGTGGGACGCTCGTTGCGGAGGTTCGCGGTTCGAGCCGAGCGGCCGCCCTACACTAGACAGCGGGGAAACTAAAGATCCCTTGACATCGTCCTCCCTGGCAGACTGACGGTACCCGTCCGTGAAACACAGCAGCGCCCCTTCCTTTGTAACAGCCTCGTGCTGGGGGGAATGGCCAGAATCACCGCGTGGTGCTCGTGGTTTTGATGTGAAGAGCGGGGGAGGTCAAATTTCACGGGTGTGCACCTTCTGCAACGAGACGCGGGAAGAAAATAAATACAAAAAATAATTGTAAAATTAAACTTTACAAATGTTTTGTTTGTTATTGCTTAAGTCAACGCTGTCTGGTAAAGTCTGCCGGCTCGTGTCAGTGGTCATGATATGTAAATGTTCGTGAACAAAACAACAAAAATACAAAAAATATATTTCAATAAAAATTACATTGTAAATCATCCCATCATCATTATCAGCAGCAGCCATGTTCAGTGCACTGCTGGCTGACGGCCTCCCCAAGTCGCCCAGAGGCCTCCTCCCCAAGAGGCAGTGATCGCAGGGCTGCGCCTACACCGGTACCACAGCTGATCTCTCCGAATATCTCTGCCCGGGATGTCAGTGCCCCACGTGCTTGCCTGCCCTCCCCTCCCCTCTGTTGACCGTGTAAGTAATGTTTGACGCAAATTCATTAAATGCGCTATTGTAAAAAATCGGTTGTAAAGTATAATTGTGTTCCATCCACGCGTGTACGCGTGTTGCTATCTTTGCGCAAATAACGTTCTCGTTTCCAGCGAAGGTCATCTTGTTCGAAAAGGTGGCGAAGGAGCAAAGTCTACGATGTTGGCGCAGGGTCAAGTTCAACGGCCACGGCGCGAGCTTCCGATGGCCGAGACGGGCGTCGATCGGAGCGCGTCTCTCCGCGACTCTGGCGACCGGGCAGCAGAGGAAGACCTAAGGCCAGATGTGGGTGGTGCAGGATCCTGGCGGAGTGTACAACGCGTTGGCGGCGATGAGCTGGTGGTGTTTGAGGTGGTGGCATCAAACTAACTAAACAATTTTATTTTACCAGGTAAGGCCCACTGAGCTATATAGCTCTTTTTCAGAAGCGACCTGGCCACGAATTATAAGCCCAATTAAGTTGCTCATCATGTGCAAATTCATAGCAGCGAAATACTCTAAATGCGTGTTTCTAAATGTGGAGGAAAAATCCGGAGGATCCGGAGAAAAATCCTTGCGACCAGAGGGAGAAAGAGAGACACACAAACTCCAAATATACAGCAGGTGTATACCAGGCGAGGTAGTTAACATCTCGTCACCATCTGCGTGATGTTAATGGTGTTGACCACGATTGCGGCTTGATCGTGAAGATTTGTGAGAGAAAAAAACACGACTTCGAAGAAAGGTCACGCTCGGCATTGTTCAAAAGGAAATTCTGGTTGTTTCTAATCTCGTCCCATTTCAACAGCCACTTCCACGGCGTCACCGTGGACTTGGATCAAATTCACGATCGCCGTGACCTCCGTCACCTCAGGCGTCAAAATCGTTGCCTTGGTGATTAAGTTATTGCAGGTCGTCCTTCGAGAACGAAGTTTATCGTCTTGAGGGGGCTGCCACAACGTCCGTCATGTCCACCATAATCATCATCATAAGGCTTCACTATCCATCCACTGCTGGATGATGGCCTCCCCACGCCGTATCAGTAATGAGGGTTGTTTGACCATACTTCACCACGCTGGTCAGTGTGGGTTGGGTGAAGGTGGGATGGATGCCCAAGACAATTTCACAATGTCTTGGCTTAATTTGCTTCCTTATAAAATGTTAGAAGTAATCCAGGCTACAAAGATCCCCCGTATAGCCTTTAACAGACTTGTTATTATGGCCAGCATGGCACGCGAGGGGGTTGGTGGCTAACACCATGCCCAACCGCCTTTGTCTCCCCAGTGCTGACTTTTACACAGGGCACCAAGTACTCATTCAAGGATGAGTCACCCCAGCGGAGGACTGGTTAGAATATTTCGCCACTGGTGTTTGTCGTGAGCAGGAATCGAACTCGGGTCCATGGGGTTCATGGGAAAGTGCAACGCCACCGCTCCCCACTGAAATTTTAGACCACAAAAACTAAAATCTCCAAAATCCTCGGAGTAGCCTCAGAGGCTGTTGGGGCAAGTGCTGTAAGCGAGCAGCACCTATGAAGGCCGGCACGGTACACGAGGGAGTGGGGTGGCCAACACCACGCCCGACGGCCTTTGTCTCTCCAGTCGCGATGTTTACGCACCGCACCAGGTGCTCGTTTTGAGGCCGAGTCGACCTAGGGGGTGCCCCAAGACCGGTTCAGAAAATCGTCACTGGGTGTTGGTGGCCGTGAGTGTGAATCGAACCCTGGTCCCCACGGGGCTCCTAGCGCAGCGCAACACGCTGACCACCCTGCGCCCCACCGGTCTCCACTGAGAATGCCAGACCACAAACACACAAACACGCACGCACGCGCGCGCGCATTGAACCTGACACCATCAGAGGGCCTTTGGCGGGGTGCTCGGGTGGTCGGTCCTGCGCCGGCCCCCCATGCACCGCAGGGCCCCAGATCTGGGCAGCGCGCCCGTGCGTGCGGCCCCCTCCGAGGCACGAACCTGCGCGCCGCGCGCTCCCGTGCGGTGCGGCGACGCGAAAACGACACCGCCGCTCTTCGCAAAATGTTTGCGCCGGATGCCGCCGATAAATCATTTATGCCGCGATGGAATCTCATGGATTTCGGGTTCCACGTTGGCAAGCGGCGCGCGGAGAAGCAACGAGACACCGTTGTGAGCCAGCCAAAAACGCTCGTGGCAAACGAATAAGTCAATGGCCGCGCTGCGTTCTTCTAAATCTACATTCCTCCTCCTCCTACCACCATCACCACCACTCCTCCACAGCGTGTCTACTGTTGGATGAGGGCCTCCCCTACACCACTGGGGATTTGTTGGACCACATTTCACCAGGCTGGTCTGGGTGGGTAGGTGAAGGGATGTGGGTAGAAGGCAAGTGGAGAGAGCAGACCAGTCATGGATCCGGGAGGGTGGGGGCAGTTGCCCCCCCCCCCCCCCAGGCCCTCCCCCACTGATGTTAACCTTGTCCTGGAAGCAAACTTGTATAGTCGAGCTCAGACGGCAGTGTGTCAATCGCTGCGCCACCGCTCCATGTGTATTCATCACGTTCGTAAAGTGAGAGATGTAAAACGGTGGCTAGGAGATGTTAACTACCTCGCCTGGTATACAGGAGGTAGTGGGTCTCTCTCTCTCCGTTGTCACTTGGATTTTTCTCCGGGTCCTCCGGTTTTTCCCTCCACATTTCGAATCGACAGCGCGCGTTTAGATTAGGTATTTGATTGGTATACATTTAAACGAAACCGCTTTGTTGAGTGATCATTTGTGGCCAGCTCGCTTCTGAAAAAGAGCTACATAGCTCAGTGGGCCTCACCTGGTAAAAAAAAAACTTTAATAATAGGTTTCTCACCTTTTCTCTGACAACAAGGGGAAAACCCTATTATCGCGCCTTTTGGCGTCCTCTGGTCTAACACCGTTGTGAGACTTTGCTCAAAAGAAAACTGTCTCTGGTGTGGACCAATCAGTTTCAAAGAAAATACATATATTATCAGTATTTTTGTTTGCATTCTGACCACAAGTATTGTGGTTAATGCAGACATGATTCCTTGTAAAAGGTATCAGTTTGGTGTTTTAACATCTTAACACCAGTTTGTTGCCAGAAAAAAAGGGAAAACCTATTCTCAACCTATTATCATATTTTAGTCCTGGCAAAGGAGGTCCCATGATGAAATAAAACTTTAGTTTAAAATGTGTGGTGGCATCCCTCACCCAGCGCCCGCGTCCCATTGCCAGGCCCGGCCAGGGCTGCTGTGTGTGTCCAGTGTCGTAGAGGCGAGGTTAGGGGTTTTTTTTTCTTTCTCCAGCTGAGCTCTGGCCAGCCCTGCCCCGGACATTAAACGGCCACGCTATAGTTTCCAATCGCCTCTCCGTTACACGCGGTCTGGGATTAAGATGCCACGCGTTGTGTGAATCTGCTGGACACCCCCCCCCCCCCCACACCGCACCACCCAGCCCTCCCCCAACGCTTCCACGTGGGCCAGAAAAGTCCCTGGAAGGAATTCAAAATCAGAGTATTTATTTATTTATACTGCCGGAGGAATCCGATGAGCTATAAAGCTCTTGTGCACAGATGTCCAGTAGGGTCGGGTAAGAACGTTTACAACAACAAACAGTACAAACACACGATAGGAGTGTAAAGTACAGTATAGGAAAGGTAAACACATCACTTAAAAAGATATACATATAATAAAACAAAATCGTCTGTTGATCTTAACAAGTAAAGCCCCGGAGGTCTAAACTTATTTTTCAGAAGAGACCTTGCCACGGCTTATCATGTGGACATTTATAGCAGCGAAAGCAATCAAAATAATCTCAATACATGTTTCTAAATGTGGAGGGGGAAACCGGTGGATTCCCCGTAACACGAATCTTGCAAAGCTCCCTTCCTGCGAGGGTCGAGGAGGCGCCCGAGCCTGGCTCGCCAGGAGGAGCCGGCACAGCAATTGCAGACTAATATCCAATCTTTTGATTTAAAGCTTTCGTGACTGCAGGGATTGATATTCTTGGTTCTTTCGGTAAAGTCACCACGTAGAAGGGAAACAATAAAATAATAAAAATATAAAGCAATAAAATTCTCACGACGTTTCGACTGCAACACAAGCAATCATCATCAGGTGTGAAAAGCACAGCAAGAAAATTTGAAAAAAGTGGCGGCTTTTTTTAATAACTGCCAAATCGCTCTCCGTGGTGCTAACGTTAAAAAACGCAGTATAATGTAGACTGTAGCTTGTTATTAACCTCGGTGAGCGTACTGACAGTCTATAATGTAGACTGTAGCCTGGTTATTAAGCTGGGTGAGTGTACTGGCAGTCTATAATGTAAACTGTAGCAATGGTTAAGCTGGGTGAGTGTACTGGCAGTCTATAAGGTAGACTGTAGCCTGGTTATTAACCTCGGTGAGCGTACTGGCAGTCTATAATGTAGACTGTAGCCTGGTTATTAAGCTGAGTGAGTGTACTGACAGTCTATAATGTAGACTGTAGCCTGGTTCTTAACCTCGGAGAGTGTACTGGTAGTCTATAATGTAGACTGTAGCCTGGTTCTTAACCTCGGAGAGTGTACTGACAGTCTATAATGTAGACTGTAGCCTGGTTATTAACCTGAGTGAGTGTACTGGCAGTCTATAATGTAGGCTGTAGCCTGGTTCTTAACCTCGGAGAGTGTACTGACAGTCTATAATGTAGACTGTAGCCTGGTTATTAACCTGAGTGAGTGTACTGGCAGTCTATAATGTAGCCTGTAGCCTCGTTCTTAACCTCGGAGAGTGTACTGACAGTCTATAATGTAGACTGTAGCCTGGTTATTAACCTGAGTGAGTGTACTGGCAGTCTATAATGTAGACTGTAGCCTGGTTATTAACTTGAGTGTACTGGCAGTCTATAATGTAGATTGTAGCAATGGTTATTAAGCTGAGTGAGTGTACTGGCAGTCTATAATGTAAACTGTAGCCTGGTTATTAAGCTGGGTGAGTGTACTGGCAGTCTATAAGGTAGACTGTAGCCTGGTTATTAACCTCGGTGAGCGTACTGGCAGTCTATAATGTAGACTGTAGCCTGGTTATTAAGCTGAGT